CTGTAACGTATTATAAAGTGTGACTCTTCATTTGAAAGCTAATTTAATTACTAATTCAATGCACCACATAACATAAATATAAATATTTCCATATTACACGTTCAACAAAATAAAGTTAGCAATAATGTTTAAAATAATGCAGGACTAATTTTCAAACTATTGCAATATGGAGGATATTTATATTAATGTTATGTGGTATATTGAATTAGTAATTAAATTTGCTTTCAAATAAGGTGCCACGCTTTATAATACATAGTTTTTTATCCCGATAGAGGGCACTAAAATTAGTTATTAATTATTAATGTTAATTATTGATTAAAGCGTTTTCTTTTGCTCATTAAAATACTTTGTGCAGAGGCGATACTGGTATACAGTTACCTGGTACAGTAATTTAATTAAGTTTCGATATTTACTCCTATTTTAGCTCTTAAATTTAAGTTAAAGTTATAAATCAAAAGGGAAACTAACATCTTTTTTGAATCTTTCCAAACGTGAGAAGCAAAAATATTTAACTATCAACATTATCTCTTTTAACCCGCTCCCCCTTTCTAATTGCGGCTACTGATACGGTTGGCCGATATATATCGCACGATATAATATATCAATAGTTTTTATTGCTAAATAAATATATGATATATGTCCAATATCTAAACGTTCTTAAATTTTGTTAACAATACAATCCGTCAACGTAGTACGATTTCTCCATTTATGTTTGAATCTGTGTTTCAAAACATTCAAAGCACGCCCCTCCCCTTTCCCCCAATCCATGACTTGGTGGAAGGCACTTATTTTAGATTTAGATGATAAAAAATTATTTTTGATTGGACAAATTTACAACCACCTTTTTCGAAGTGGGTTCAGAACTCTTCCAAAAGAGTCACAAATTTAGACTGGTTATGCAAGAAGCAACCACAAGACCTTGAAGAGTCTGTGGCATCCTCTAATAAATCTAAACCAGAAAAACCAAACTCCGAATCAAACTATTATTCTTCTTACATGTATTTTGATATTTTTTTTGTTTGTTATAAAATGAATGTCATAGTATAGTTCGTATTTGAAGCGAATCAAAACTAATATAAATATTTTTTAAATATAAGAAATGAAAAGAAAGACGTATTTAAAGTGTGTAATGATAAAAAATATTTTTTCTGTAATTTTTATAAGAGTATATCTTTAATAAAGTACTGATACTGATGATGGCTTAATACCGAAAGCGCCCGGGCAAACTGTAAAAATCGAAGATGTATACAGGGTGTCCCGAAATTAGATGTTTCCTTATATTTCAAAAAATATGGTATAGAGCATAGCAGTGTGAAAAAAAGGAGAACTAGATATCAGGTTCGACATAATGATAATGAAATTGCCCAAATACATATTAAGCCTGAAAATTCTACTAGGCGAATAGCTAAAGAATGTGTAGTAGGAACCTCCAAGGTTAAAAGAATTTTAAAGAAAGATAAATACCACGGGTATAAATTTCAAAAAGTCCAGAAATTACACGCTGGAGACTCTGATAGAAGACTGATGTTTTGTCGTTGGTGTAGTAGAAAACTGCGCAATGACCGTTCTTTCAACAAAAAGATATTATTACTAATAGTGGAATATTTAATCCCAGGAACAAGCATTTGTATGCTACTTCTAATTCCCATTTAATGAAAGAAGTTAGCCCACAGTTGCGTTTTACCCAAAATGTGTGGTGTGGACTAATTAATAATCAGATTATTGGGCCGATTTTTTTGGATAGTAATTTAAATCAGTTCCGATACCTGCATTTATTGGAGGAAGTACTCGATGAGATGCCCTTACAAACAAGATAAAATCTTCAATACTTTATGCAAGACGGTTGTGGTGCACACAATGCTTGGAGGGTTGCAGAGTATCTCGATCAATATTTTAGAGGTAATTGGATTGGTACCAATGGACCAATAAAATGGATTATTTTATATGGGGCTTCGTAAAGAACCAAATCTACGTCAAAAATATGCCAAATAATCTACAAGAACTTCGTCAACGAATAGTAGATGCATTTGAAAAAATTACACCAGAAATGGTTGATAAAACTACATCCCAAATGTCTAGGAGAATTGCACTCTGTATCCAATAGAATGGACTACATTTTGAGCAACTATTGTGACTGTTTTTGTTTTTAAATTTTGTTTTTGTTATTAGCTTTATTATTTGTAAAATGTGTACAACCATAATTCGTTCTTCATTAGTCTTGTTTGCTGGTTATACTTAATCATGTTTGATAAAAAATTGTAACCCATTTTGTAATTAAATAATTCTTGTATTATGTTTCAAATAATATTTAAAATTTCACATTTTAAGCATTTTTTGTTTTTTAATTATTATTTAATTAGCTATCTTGTTTTAATCAAGTAAGAAACGGTATCATCAGAAGCTACATAGCTGATGATATTTTCATAGACGAAACATAGTAAAATGGTAAAGTGTAACATATCGTTGTATTTAGCTATACAAAAGCTATAAAAAATTACAGTTAAAAATCTAGGTCCGGATTTTTATCGAATATCTCCGGAACCAGTCAGAAAATTTGGAACTTCTATGGCCCATTGTATTATCCGTCAAAATACGAAACTTTTTCCCCATTTAACCGACAATGTATATCTTACGGTTCACGAGATCTCTGTATACGCAAATTAAATCCGGTCTACCCTGTATATACTGATATATATTTCATCTATACACATTCATTTCACCGGCCCACAAAAAAGTGGTCAGTACATTTGACTAGACCCACCTAGGATTATGTATTTCGATGCGCTGAATCCGAATTTGATGTCCATTTTGCCCGTACATCCTCAAAATTTTAAGTAAATTGTAAAAGACCAGTAAAAATAGCAAAAAAAAATCGCGAAAAATTTCAATTTCCTCAAAATTTTGAGGATGTTCGAGATAAATGGACCTCAAATTCGGATTCAGCGAAACGAAATACATAACCCTAAGTGGGACTAGTCAAATGTACTGATAACTTTTTTTTGTGCCGGAGTTATCAACCAGTATGTATAATACACTTACTAAACGATTTTCTAAATGAAACAATCCAATTTATATTAATTTTATATATTATATTCGATATTTTGATATTTATAATAAGTATCATATTTGCCAATCCTGGCCACTTATGACCCACAGGCTAGGATTTAAAAAAGAAATAAAAATAATTGACCCACTTTTCAAAAAGGTTTGTCATCATTATTCTAGATTCTAGAATCTAGATCATAGCAAACTTCTATAATTTGGTATATTTTAAATTAAATACAAATCTCAAATTAATGTTCTTTAACTTTAAATACATTTGTAAAACTAAATTGCTGAAATTTGCTGCAGCAACTTTTTGCAATATTTCCGTATGAAATTGTATTACTACTGATTTTTTACCGGTTAGTACTAGCCAATTTTTTTAAATATAGCGACATTTCAGATCATTTTTTATTCAAATTAAGTTTGTGCTCATTATGCTTTTGTTGAATATCTATTGTCGGCGCTGATGACTATTGCAGGAATACTCGGTATATCTAAAATACGTGCATTAATAATTTGTTAAGCTGGTAAATAAAAAAGAAAATCCACACTTCCCTATTTTTTAACAAACTGCTAATCAGCATGGACTACGAAACATGCTATTTGCATGCAGACACTTCCCTAGGTCGTCTGTGTTTATTAAATTTTTATTATACATAATAATGTAAAATGTGGGCTATTATACACTATATAGTGAACATTTGATTTTAAAGTTCCAAAAACAAAGGTATTTTTATTTGTTAATTGCCATTGTGATTTATTTGAAGATTATGTAGGTAAATTATTACTATATAAGGTAAAAGATATAAATGTTGTTTTTTTCATTGTTTAAAATAATTAAAAAGTTAGAAATGTTCTGAAAATCTTGTTCAGCGGTATTTTTGAGTCATTCTTAGTTGTTATGTTGATAAAAATGGAATCGGAATCTTCAAAATTGATAACTTCGCCTTTGAATTTTTATTCTAATAGATAGTTTACATAAATATTAAATAACAATGATCCGAGGATTGTTCCCTGAGGAACACTACATTTAATAACTTTGGTATCACTGAAAATACTGTTGATATTTTCTACTTTCTAAATAGCTATTAAAGAATTTGTATGTTACTTCTCTGAATCTGTAATTTTCTAGAGTTTCTAACAGTTTTTAACTGTATTAAATTCTTTTGCAAAATCGACAATTATTTAAAAAATCTTTTTTCAATAATTTTTTCAAATATATTTCTAACGTTTGATATAATAGAAATTGGTCGGTCGGTAATTAATTACCTTTAATTAGTTGTCTTTTTCGTACATCGACACTATCAAAGCATCTTTATAAGGTAATCAGGAAATATTCCAACATCAATCAATTGGGACTATTTATAAAAATGGCCAATATTGGAGAAATTTCTTAACACAAGTCTTTGGCAATTTCGGATGTTATATTGTCTAAACCTGCTATTAAAACATTTGCAAGCAGGATTTTCCGAATTTTCCTCAAAAAATGATAGGTAAGTTTTAAAAACGAGTAACATCCTCTTCCTGCTGTAGAAATATGAAATCAAATACTTATTTTTTATTTATTTTGCTTATCATTATAAATGTGTGTTGAAATTTAAGTTATATATAATAAAATAAATTTATTCTTCCTTAATTATTTTCGTTTACAAATTTCCTTATTGGCTACTGCAGAATATTGCAGGAACGATTTTTTTTAATATGCATTAATTTTCTGCAAGCAAATATTATAATTTCTAAATAAAAACAAACAAATTAAAAATTAACAAATTGAATTTTTAATGATGACTCATCAAATTCAGTAGATAATATGCACCATTGATTACATAACATCAAATGTATCTGTGTTAACATAATACAAACATAAAATTCGGAATTAATCATTGGATGTAATTAACGATTGCCAAAGTTTCATGTGCAAAAACAATAAACAAGAAGCTTTTTTCGGCACCTACCTCGCATTGCCATTATTTATAGTCAGCTAGTTCAAAACACGCACTATCTCACACAATCCCTTCAAGTTGGGGTCACACAAAGGTCATGATACAAACGAACCCTTAAAAGTCTTTAAGCGGTTATTTTTCAATTAACAAAGAACGCGCGCGCGGGTTTCAAATAGTTGCAATAGATTTTTGCAGTCTATCTATTTGTGTTAAGCAGGAAAAAATGTGATGAACTTGGCGCAAATTGCCGAAATTTTGGTGGGGGGGGCCAAGCGATATGAGCACAGTGGGCCAGGAAACACTCAAAACTGTTTAAAAACCAATTTAGAAATTAAAATAAAAATATTTTGTTACATCGATTCTTACGGCAGCGTAGAAGGGCCACATTTTTTATTTATTTTAAAAATTCCTTGTTCGAACACGAAATTTGCATGTTAAATCAAGGAATTTCGTTTTAGAATATAGAATTCCGTGTTTAAATACGGAATTCCGTGTTTGAACAAGGAATTTCTGTGTTTGAACACGGAATTACAGATTTCCCTCTTCGTACAGAGAATTCCGTATTCAAATACAGAAATTAGTAATTCCTTGTTCAAAGACGGAATTTTATATTCAAACTATATTTTTTCATGGCGTATTTACAGGATGTTCTAGGACGACTTGGGAAATTTGATGCTCTGAAAATCCTCATAATTTGGTCCCAAATACTCTACTGGAACAATTTTATCTTAAATTTCCCTTTAAGGTGCTCTTGGAGGCTGGAAGGGAGAAAAAAACGATTGACACCGAAACGTTCGACCTTTGGTTTCCATACACGACGTACATAATTATTTGGCAATTTCCATTCTGAAGTGGATGTTTTCAAGATGCGCATATGTTGATGTAAGTATATTTTTTATGATGTGTCATCATTTTTAAAAACATGACGTCATCACCAGTTTTTTAGATAGCACCATAATTTTTTGATAGTACCATTTAATAGAAAAACAAGCAAACCAATTCCTAACCGGTCCTCCATTTCTTCACTTTACATTTTTCTAGAGCTGACTAATAATTGGATTTAGAAAATATTTCCCTACTTTACCCCTTTCTTATCATCTGGGCTAGAGAGGCAAGGAGGGTAAATTTAAAATGCTATACAGGGCGTTATTTTAGTCTGATTCAAATGAAATTTGGGTATCAGACCCTAAGAAATAATACTGATCTGGAAATGAAATTAAAGGAAAAATATTATGCAGGAACCAAAGAGAGCGAGACTTTTGGTATTACTTATTCAAAAGTCGGAAAAAGTAAAAATCTGAGGATATTCAAAGAATCCGTATGTACCCATCCCTCCCCAAGATTCCCAAGTCATCCAAGAGTAACCTGTAAATACGTGTTCAAACAAGGAATTCCGTGTTCGAACAAGAAATTCCATGCTCGAAAAAGGAATTTCTTATTCAAACACGTAATTTTATTCCGTATTTGAACATGGAAATCTGAAATTACGTGTTCGGACAAGGAATTCCTTATTCAAACACGAAATTCCTTGTTAGAACCCGAAATTTTATTTTCGAGCTATACATTTTAATGGTATATTTACAGGGTACTCTTGAGGGACTTGAGGATCTTGGGGACAGTTGGTTAAATACGGAACCTCTATGTATCCTCAACCTCTTTGTTTCATGCATAATATGTTAGGGTCCAGCTCCTGATGCTTTTTTGCTTGTGTTTCTCTTAAACGCCACTATCAAATAATGGAGGTGCTATTTAGAAAATTTGATGACGATGTCATAAAAAATATACTTACACCAAAATAGGCGCATATTAAAAACAAAATCCATTTCTGAATGGACAATTAACATGTTTGTTGTGTATGGGAACTAAACATCGAACATTTTGGTGTCAATTATTTTTCAAATAGAGTAGTTGAGACCAAAATCTGAGGATTTTTAGAGAATCCGATCTATCTTCCACTCCCTGAATTCCGCAAATCACCCAAGAGCAACTTGTAAATATGCAATTAAAAGCTATATCTTGATTATAGAATTACGTATTTGAACAAGGAATTTCCGTGTTTGAACACAGAACTACAGATTTTCCTGTTCTAACACAGGAACCCCGTGTTCAAAATGGTAATTCCTTGTTTAAACACGGAATTCTGTGTTCAAATACGGAATTTTGTGTTTGAATACGAAATTCTGTGTTCAAATACGGAATTCTCTGTTTGAATACAGAATTTAGATACATCATTTAGAAAGAAACAACAATGTTCTCAAAAAATTCTCACCTCTTGTGGTATAGATGATTTCATCGGAAGACATATTGCAGTTGCAAGATCATTGCAAGAGCTTTACGCCATCTATCAGTTTACATAACAAGTAATAGAAATAGGATTAGTGGAATGTAAATTATATTTTTGGTAATAAGTCTAAGGTTACAGCGTCAGCATGATTTCTTCTTTCTTCCTTTTCTTCTTTAGTTGTATGGGCTCAGTTTTTCACTAGCACTATCAGAGGGGCTAGCTGGTTTGCTTAGAAACGCGTGTTATGCTTCTTATGGCTGATTTTTGTAAAATAAAAACTTTTCTAATAACTAGACAGGCACTGGATAGATAGTGAAAAAGTTAACCCACAGAACAACAGAAGAAGACAAGGAAAAAAGAAGAAATTTTTTATTACGCCCAAACGACAAATTTACAGTTTTCTTTTAAATAAATCCTGTTTTAACTGCAACATGTCTTCCGATGAAATCTTCTATTACTTTTGTTATAGTCAGATTTTCGAATTTTGGCCACCTTTGAATGCTTCTTGGCCCACCTCGTTGCGGAGCAAAGGGGGCCGGCAGGGATCGCATGGGATTATTACGTAAGCTCGCAGTGCACGTCCGCGAACAACATATCAAATCTACAAGGTTATGCGGACGCAGAGTTGCCAAAGTTTTTTTAATTAGACAAAAGTGCGTACATTTTTTTTTTAGGTTCTATGCTGGAGCCAGTGGCGGAGGGAAAATGTGACGGCGTTAATAATAATGTTTGTATTTATATATTTATTATATAGGACAATTACTATAAAATTAACAAAAATACTATGAATTCATATCAGAAATAAAAAAATATATATGCAACTTATAAATTAGTTTTAACTAATTTCAGTAAGCTAGAAAGAGTAATATTAAATTTTAATATACTTCTAAATTAATAGACCAATTTTTTTTTTTATTGTAATTAACGTGTCTCGGCATCAGGGGCCATTGACACAGGTACAATTATAATATTACAAGAGGTTTTACAAAAATATACACTATCTACAGACAAAAAAAAACCTAATTTACAAAACTAGGGTACAGGAAAATAATTTATACTGATTTAAATTTGATTAAATAAATTCACAACTTTTAAAAAATTAAACAGTTTTCCAAATTCACTAGGACATCTAAGGATACTAATGCTATCACTCAAACCATTCTTAGCCCGTTGAGTTTTAAAGTAAATGCAATCTTCCTCTAATAAATGTTTGACCGTTAAAGTCCTGTTACAGTACAAACAAAGAGGTTGGGCTTAGGCAGACAGTAAATGTTTATGAGTCAATCTTGTATGTCCAATTCTCAGTCTTCTAATGATGGTACTTTCTTTCTTTGACAGAGAGGGCATTTCGAAAACCAAAAACTTGATTATTTGAATTTTTCACATAAATTTTGAGGTTATGTGAAAAAAGTGTAATCACAAAAGTTGTAGGTCTCTTTATTACCTACAACTTTGTTTAATTTGTTTCCATAGGACTTATAGTTTTGCCGGAAATCGAAATACACCGTTTTTTACCCTTAAAAACTCACCCCCTTACACTTCCCGACCTCAGATCGCCCGTAAATTATTTTTCCTTTCATTTTTGTTATATTCTCGTCCTTTTTTTACGGGTTTCATCCTACTATTATTTTTTTTTTGTTTCAAAAATTATCGACCCTGGTCTATAAATAAAGTAAATAGAAATAAAAAAATAAATAATTTAAAAAAATAATAACAATAACAATTTTTTTTAAAAAGTTGTTAAAAATGTACATTGATATGAGTGATATCAATGATTGCATTTCTTATGAACTGCGGCATGGGTTCTCACTAAATATCCATGCTTGTCAACTTTGAAACTCTTAAACGTCAAGTAAATTATATAAACTTTATTAAAAGTTTTTTGAAGGATTTTATTTGAGTGGGTAATTGATAGTGATAAGTGATAAGTGAATTGTTTTAAATTGAAATAAATGTGGATCTTATGCGAATAACATAGATGATGATGATGATGATGATGATATAGTAAGGATGATTTTTGTACGAGTTTTAACGAATTCGAGAACAGAACTCATATCATAACTTGATATTAGGACCAAAAAGGTTAAAGGCCTAAATATTATTTTTACATGGGCATGCTTAAGGAATAAAAGGTTCAAATATTTTTACATCGGCAAGGTTAAAGGCTAAACGGCTCAAATATTTTTACATTGACAGGCTTAAATAATAATGGGACCAAATATTTTAATAGAGACTTAACTATTTTTACACAGACATGCTTTTGGTATAAATAGGTCAAATTATTATTACATGGGTAGACCTCCATTTACCCCTTAATAGACTAAATATTTTTACATAAATTGTTTGAAATCGAAACCTGAAAATTCAATTCATCAATTCGGTCCTTCATTTAAGCTTTAAAAGGTAAAGGGCCCAATTATTTGTGCATGGAGAGGGGCGTTTATAGTTACATAATATTCAAAAACTACTTGATTCCGTTTCAATATTTTTCTAAAGAAAGATTTGTGGGGTATTTTTTTTTTTATAAAAAAGAAACTTCATTAAAACAAAAAACACTTGTTTTGATAGTTTTTAGTAATCCAGTTAAAAATGTTTTGATGGAGATCAATACGTATATTCCAAAAACATAAAATGATTTGGACGTTAAAATTGACATTAAGATTATCCTTTATAAACTAAAGAATTAAGGTAATCACATATTTAATAATTCACCTGCTTAAACTTTTGAATATTGGGAATATTTTGAACACTATTGTGAAACTTGTAAAGCAGTCTTAATAGTCAAATTAATAAAAATATCCATACGTTATTAAAAATGTACCTAGTATTTATTTTACAGATAAAATTATTAAAGTAGACACTAAATAAATAATACAACTTGCAAGTTCAAATGAGATAATTAATCAAA